TTTATCACTGATGTTATTGAAAACTACAATACCACGTTTCACCGTTCGATTGGTATGACTCCAAATGAGGCTAAAGGCAAAGTAATGAATGCAGATCTGAGTCATAATCAGGTGGAAGCCGAAAGAATTGAGAAGGAGTTTGACGTCGGATCAAGCGTATTGTACCGTCTCAAAAAGCAGACATTTGATAAAGAAGCTGCCCGATGGAGCAAAGCAGTCTATAAAATCGTTGGAATTGATGGCTACCGAGTCCAAATCCGTTCAAGAAATGGTCATACCCTCTACAAGGCGTCAAACGATCTTAAAATGGTTAACACAGAGACTACAGATGCTGTTATTAATCGTGGCGATATTCTTGAAGCTGAGAAGATCTTGGATCATAAGACGACACGGTCTGGGAAGTACAAATATCTGATCAAATGGCTTGGTAATGAGCCTGATTCCTGGGAACCTCAAGATAATCTCCGATTGATAAATAAGAATCGGAAGTCGATGCTAGAAAAAGAGTACTGGGCAAAAAAAAACACAAATGAGTCATAATTAGCTTTGTGTAAAAATATATTAGAGCAATCCTCTGTAAGCTTTGACTCATTTATAGTATATTTACTATTTTTAATTAGATTATTGAAATATCTGACTTGATATATATATAAACCCTTATTATAAATATGTGCCCCAACTGTTTAAAAAATCAACGTGAGCTTGCTACGCTACGTCGAAAGCTGTGGGTCATTCAAGAGGTGAGTAGAGTCAAGAATGAGTTGATAAATCTTGATGCATCAGCAAACTTTCGTAAAACAGTAGTAAACCGAAAGTTTCGACATGAGTTGGAAGCAATATTTGGAGTTCCATTCCATTGCATTAAGGATCGCTATCTAAATCTTCTAAATGAGCGGAATAGTATCTGTCATAACTATCAACCATTTGTACATGACTCAGTTATGCCGAGTTTGTGGTAAGGTATTTAACACTACTCATTTTTTTATGATTCGTTTGATATAGGATCAATATGTTTCCAAATTTTACATCGCTCGCTCAGAGAGAGCAAAAACGTCAGGAGCTTCTTGAAAGAGCTCAGCGCCGCGTTCGACAATCCAACACTAAGCGTCAGATGTATGCAGGAACGTCATGGGCAAGTGATATCACGAATGGGGTTACTACAGTCCCAAAGAAATCAACAGAATCAACTCAGACCGACTCATCCGAGTCTGCTGAGTCATTAAAAAAAACACTGATTGATGGATACTCCCAAACAAACCCTGAGGTCTCAACTCCAAATGTTCGACCTGTGATGATCGATGTTGGAGTAGATAGCGGTGTGCAGATGGTAAATAGCTCAAACAATACTGATCGTGTTAACCAAACTGATAGAAATATTCAAGCGAGACCTCAAACATCTGATGTTGGTATCGATAACACACAGCAAACAGCTGATGTTGGAATCGACAATACTCCAAGAATGTTAGATGCTGAAACAAATATGAAAAACCTGGATACCGAAGATCAAGTGGAGGCGCGATCATGGGTTAAGAATTTGTTTAACACCAATCCTAATTGGGTAGCGCTTCGAATTAAGCCAATTAAGCGTAAAACTGGTAAGGATGACAATAGATACTTTCTTGGTGAAAAGGGGTCATTAATTGCAGCCAAAACGGGTAGAAAGAGTAAGACTTATCAATCGATTGACTGGGTGGCTACAGAGGAGAAGATTAGGGACATCTGGTATGATGGCGAAAGTAAATCAATCGATGAGAGCAGTTATATGAGACTTGAAGACCCTCTTTATCACGTTTCACTAACGCGAAAACGAAAAATCGCTGATTCAAGTGAAGGTGATGATGCATTCCGTACAAGGCAACGTCTTGAAGACAGCTTCGAGTTTGACACATCGACTTCAACCTCATTAGATCAAGTTGATAGTAAGAATCGATTGCTTTGGTCTATTTTCAAGAATAAGGCAGTGCTTGAGTCGGCTGGTTTGAAAAAGAAAATCATTCCTATCCTCAAGAGCATGGGTAAAATATTTCAGATGGATAGAACTGGATACGTGTGGATTGATGGTTCATCAATTAGTGTATTTGGTATTGATAGTGGGAGAGTCAAGCCAGCGATTACTAAAAAAGTCGATTGGAGATCAACATTCCAAGAATTTATCGATTTAGTGAAAGATCGTGACGATATCGATCTATTTACTAACGAAGACACCACCAAACTTGCAAAGGCCTTTGAGCCACGCGATGGTGAGGCACGCCATGGAATTAAGATTGGAATTGATGAAGATATGAATAGTTCTCTAACTAATGCTGATA